CCTTCTGCCTTCTGGCCCTCGTCACTGGACTCCTGTACCTTGTTAGTCTCATTTGGTTTTACAGGGCAACAACACATATTTTTGGGGGACACAATTTAATCCATAACATTATTATTACCTTGCATCTGGTTGGGTTGATTTTTCTGCTTCCATTGCTTACCTGTACAGATGTTTCTTCTTTCATTCAAATTATATTTGCTGAGCACCAACTATGTGCCAGGAACTGCCATCAGGAGGAAAACAAACCATTTCTTTTAGAGGCTGAATGTATCTCTTAAACACTTCAGTGGCATGTGGGTAGGATCTTGGAATGCTGGTCAGAGATTGTCCTGAAAGAGTCATCTTGAAGTATGATCATGACTGAAAAAGCGGACCTTTGCTTATGGATTAGAGGGCAATGGTGGTTCATTGGTAGAATTCTTGCCTTCCATGCTGGAGACCTGGGTTTGATTCCTGGCCAATGTATCTCATGTGCAGCCGTGACCTGTCAGTGGAGGCTAGTGTATTGCTGTGATGCTGAGCAGGTTTCAGCAGAGTTTCCAGACTAGGAAGAAAGATCTGGTGATCTACCTCCAAAAATCATCCAGGGAAACCCTATGGATCATAACAGTCTGATCCCATTGTACATGGGGTCACCATGAGTTGAGGGCCAACTTGACAGCTGTTAACAACAACAGCTTATGGATGGTGAGGGTTTGAGGCAAAAGCAGACTTGACCTAAACATGCCAGTTTGCTGAGAGACTAACCAGAGAAGACTTTTGCTTTCTCAAAGATCAAGGCTGAGCAACAGCCTAGCTGGCTGGAGTGGAAGGTGGATGGGTGTGAGGGTGGTGGCGGGGTGATATTATGCAGAGTGCCATGGTGGGCAAAACACAGTGAAAAGTAGATTTCTCACATCGGCCAGGCTTGAGATAAGGCTGCCTTTCCATATCATTTCTTGGTTATCCAGCTGGAGAAGACATCCCAGATATTGACGTTTGGTGTCACTCAATAGATTTTGTTACAATAACATTGCCGTCATCTTCCTGGACCTCGTGCTACTTGGGTGAGAAACCTGGATGGGTCCTGCTGGGGAGGCAGAATTTATCACTGGCTGCTCTTTTGTTTGGGAGGAAACCCCTCTTCCACAGGATTTTGAGTATGCAAAGGTCTGGCTCAGATCCCATCTGGAATGAAGAGGCTGAGATAATGAAATGAGGCCCTCAACTCCCCTCATCTGGGACCCCAAGACAACATTTTATGGTAAAATACAGAATCAAATTGTATCTTGTAGAGTGGTAAGGGGAAGGAAGGCTAGAGGTGAGGGAGTTATGTTTTCCCTTTCCACTGGGTCCAAGAGAAAGTTGGAACTGATGGGGGTTCCCATCTTAACAGTGGGCAGAGGGGATCTGGCCAGAGATACTCTTGCGAAGAGAGAGGCCAGCCCTGGCAACATGGCGGTGTCCACGGTTCAGGCAAGAGGACCTTCTGGAAGGGCAAGGCTTCTGCACCACAGAGACAGGGAGGGCTTATATCTATTTTATATTTTTCTTTTCAATATTATAATAAACTTTTGTCAGCCACTGCAGTCAGACTAATTGGACTCTGGGGATTTAAGGAAGGTGCCTGTTTCCACAACTGGGGTTTATCCTGGCAGAGCAGATTGTAGAGGTATGCCTTTCAATACAATAGCCACTAGCCACTTGTGGCTACCGAGCACTTAAAATGTGGATAGTCCAAATAGATGTGATGTAAGTATAAGATATACATCAGATTTTGCAGACTTCGAGAAAATAATGCAGACCATCTCATTAATACTTTTTCATTTTGATTACATGGTGAAATTATAATATTTTGGAGGTATTGGGTTAACTAAAAAATATTCTTAAGATTAAAGCCCAATAAAATAGGTGCTTTTATTATGAGAAAACAGACATAGAAAAGTTAGGTAATAACTTGCCCAAGTTCACGCAACTAATAAGTAGAAAAAGCCTGGATACAAACCCAGGCATTTTGCCTCCAGAGTTTGCATACCTAGCCACTGTGAATTAGAATGTGGGGTTAAAAATCGTTAACAGTAGTGTTATACTCACATAAAGCCTTTGAGTTTATGAAGCATTTACATTCACAATCCCATTATTCCTTATGTCACCATGAGAAAGATAATGCAGAAAATATTGTGTTATCTTTTCTACAGATGAGCTGATGCCCAGGGAGGCTTAGTGTCTTCTCCAAGGTCCTATAGTTACTGGCAGGTCTTTTTTCTTTTTTTTTAAAATGTAGTTTTCGATGTAAATATACACATCAAAACATGCTCCCATATAACAATTTCTACACGCATTGTTCAATGACATTGGTTACATTCTTTACATTACGTCAATATTCTTGTTATTTCTGCCCCAGTTGTTTCACCCCCATTAATCTAGATTCACTGTCCCCTAAACTTTTCATCTGTTTTAGAGTTACTTTTGTCACTTTGTTCTCATATACATAATATGTGGCAGTTCTTTTTGACCTAAGTCTTTTTATCTTTTTGACTCTGAGTCCTGTCACCTTCTTACATTATAGCAGTTGCCTCAACTAGAAAGCAAGGTAAGATGAATCAACTAGTTCCTGATGTCAGTTTTCTTAAATAATGCATACAACTGTTTTCCACCCAGTAGGGACTAATGCTATGGCTCTGTAGAACCGTAGTTCCCACACCTTCCTGCACACATACAGGTGTGTGTGTGTGTGCGCGCACATGAGTGCGTGGGAGCATAGGAGTGGTGGTATTAACAAAAAAAAAAAAAAAAAAAAGGAAGGAAAACAGAAAAAGAGAGTAGTTTTCCAAGAAATAATGTGGAGAGAAGCAGACCCAACCATTTATGTTCTCTAAATGTCTGAATGTACCATAATAAAGGCTTTTTGATCTAGTTAAAAAATCAATTTCACCTTTTTAAAAATTTTTTAAATGTGGTTACTAGGAAATTTGAAATTACATGTGTGGCTTGTATTATATTTCTTTTGGGAGGTGCTGTTCTAGAAGTCTCAGGGTGACCTTTGGTAATCCTGAGGTGGTGAGCAGCCAAGATGTGAAAGTACCACCAGAGTGAATTTGTCTAACACACCAGCATTCCTTGGGAAGCCTCAGAAATAGGTGGGTCAGGAAACCCATTAAAGACTGGCGTTGCTGTGGCTTGGACCCCATTAGTTGGGTATAAAAGGGAAGGGTGATCTCAGAGGGCTGGATCCCCAGGTTACACTAGAAGTAAAAGAACTAGTCATCATCATTTTAACATGGTTCTTTTGCAGTGGCCCCTTAAAATGGCTGCAGCAGAATGCCAGTCTAGAAGTACAACAAGGGGCTAAGGAATGAGAAAGGTCCCAGGGGCATTCTGAAGAGCTTGAAAGTAGCTTCTAAGCCCATTAATCATCCAGATGACTCCACTTTGGGGCCTCAGGAATTTGCTCACAAAGACCCCATTAGATCAGGGCTATGTTGTATGGATTTTTATACCATGGGGCAATCATAAACACCTATGTGTAACAATTGTGTTTTGAGAATCTGATATTGCACCGAGCAGTGGACACTGCCCTGCCCAGATACTTTTCTGGTTCTCTGAATCCATTTCCCCAGCTCCTCTGACTTTGGTACTAAGAGCTCTCAGCTGTGATCTTCAGCAGACGATTGCCTGGGAGCTACTGGTGCCCCCTTGCCCATTCAGAGAGTCGAAGTCCTCGCAGGCAATGACGGTGCAGGTGTAAAAAACTCAGCCTCGAGATGGGGCAAGTCTGAGGTGCCACTTCTGCTCTGGAGTTCCCCAGTGATCAGGCCAAAGCTTCACCTGAAATCACACCCTTGTCTGATTTCTTCTCCTTCCCTGTCCTGCTCCCCACCACTCCCTTACTGGTTTCTCCGGGAGGCACTTTCTTAATAAATCACTTGCTCCCACTCCTCATCTCAAGGTCTTCTTTTGGGGGAAGTCCACCAGAGACACACAGCCAGACTTTATTGTGGACGTTGGTCTTGACCTTGGGTGCTGGCCATGTAATAAAACCAAAACCAAAACCAAAAAACAAACCAGTTGCTGTTGAGTTGATTGTGACTTGTGGCAACCCCATGTGTTGCAGAGTAGAACTGTGCTCCATAGATAGGGTTTTCATGGCTGTGGCCTTTTGGAAGCAGATCTCCAGGTCTTTCTCCTGAGACACCTCTTGCTGGGTTCGAACCACCAATCTTTTGGTTAGTAGCCAGGCGCTTAACCATTTGTGCCACCTAGGGTCATGTATTATGTGCCTATTTAGTGTGCAGGGGGATTTTGAACCTTTGAGATACACTTTGCTGAGAGCCCTGATCCTGAGCCCAGAACAGCAAGGGCTGCAGGACCAGCAGAGGGCCCGTGTGAGGTCCGTATCACCCCATCTCATGTCTATGAAGCAGCAAAGAACATCACACCAAAAGCCACTTGCTTCCCCTTTGACTGTTTACTTTATTGCTCTTTAGTCAGAGGCTCTTCCCCAGACATCCTTCCATCTCCATCATGGCTTCTTTCCAGAAAGTTGAAGCTGTTCTCTGCTTTTTGCCATCTTCACAACACCTCCTGCCCTCTTACATAAAAAATTTCAAAATAAAGATTGAAACAGGAACTTGGCTGAGTTTTGCAACACGGAAGTGTATTCTAGGCCTACATTTACAGTAAGTGGGGGGTGGGGAAGAGCGATGAGTCCACCGGGGAATGTTCACACTGAGGGTAGTCACACTGGGTGGGCACGCGATCTGGGAAGAGGTGTTGAGTCCCAGCAGCTTCAGAAACACCAAAAATTGCTGACTTATCAATAAAGCCAAGAGAGCTTTAGAAAAATCTAGAAAGACACACTGTTTCCACATGGGAGGCACTCCCTTCCCTCTTAGACTAGAAAAAAAAAAAAGAACAAACCCACATTAGCCAAACTCACACACATGACAAACTCTAAATCTCCAGATAAACACCCTCACGTAGGCACTTGGTGTCTCCAGCTCTGGGGCTGGAGAGAGCTGGGGCTGCAGCCCAAAGGGAAAGGCCGCTGACCCATAGGGAGGACAACAGCTTCTAAGGGCTTCTGGGGCCTGACCTATCAGGTGGAGCTGACCCTGCTGGATGGGAAGGGGGCCTATTTAAAGATACCTCCCCCTCCCATTTCACTGAGACAGTGACTTGCAAGAAGCTTTGGGCCCCGTGCATTTCCTGAATAGAGCGCTGGCATTTCTGAAGAACACACCACTGAAAGGGCAAATGCTGGCTGTTTACACGTGGGCATTGCACGTTAGGGACTGACCAGCTCAAGGAGGGCAGGGGCCAGTTCTAGTTTGCTAATGCTGCATCCTCAGAGCCCAGCACTGTGCCTGGCACTTGTAGGCATGCAACAAATATTTGCTGAATGACTGAATGAAACAATTGAAAATGAAAATCTTGTTCTTCCAAAAATACAAATTTATAGCCTCTTCACTGGTTATAAATTGGTTCTTTTTAAACCTTCAAAATGGAATTATGATTCACTCATTCACCTGACATGAACTCGTCCTAAAGGAACTTTTTTACAGTCGAAACTGAGTCTTTTCAATTGGTGCCAGGGAATTGATCTGGTTATGTCCCAATGACAAGGTCTTCAACAAATGTGCTGGCAAATATCAATGAGGTGATCCATCTCTAAGGCCAGCAGCTAGTCCAGAACTGGCTGTTTAGGCTGGAGGCCTAGGCCAGGGTCTTCGTGTGTTGGGTCTGATGTCTGGGGAAGAGGGGCAGGTCATCATTTATGCCCTGGGGGAAGGTTTGAGTGTGACAGGTGGTGAAGATGGTATGGCTGACCCAAGGGCATGTTTACACACTGAACTCTTGGGCCAGAAGGATGCTGGCCCAGAGAAAGACCCCTGTGCATCTGAGACAGACTGTGTCTATGCGAAAGATGAGGTATAAGTAGCATCTCTTAAATGGAGAAGGCTGCTCTGATAACGTGTTTCCAGGGAAGAGTCTAAGCTAAGTTACTAGACCCCCAGGGAGTGGGGAGGGCTAACTAACGGTGTCTACACTGCAGAGAGAAAGCCAAGAGGGTTTGAGAGAGGCTGGTAAGGAATGAATAATTAGGGGCAGCCATCTGGAAGCCCTGAGGGAGGTGAATTTGAAATGATGTTGATGATGAAATGATGACGGCAGCTCAAGATATGTCTGGTGTCCCATGTGTTCCACCTTGAACTTCAGGGCAAGGCCACTGGAAGAACTGGCGATCCCAGACCTCCTTCCCTTCTCCCCTTATTCAGTTTTGGACCAGACGCTAAGGATTCTTTGGGGGAATGGACTGGGTACATGGTTTTGTGTTTGTTTTTTATGTCAGGGCTATGCAGACACTGGCCAGATGCCCAGTTACTTTTAAGAAGGACAGAGTTGAGGTTCATTGTGGGTGGCTTCAGTGGATGCTGAGACCCTTCTCAGGGAAGGCAAGGCACAGATGCCTCAAATCCCACCCCACTTCCTGAGGGTCTCCTCATGGGGCAGTCCAGTCTATGTCAGGAAGGTGAAGGCTCTGGGGGAGGGATGTGAGGGGTCTGGAGAGCTTGGGGAAGGAGGAAAGTGCCAATGGCCCCTGTAGGTCAGGGCACCATGTGCCACCACTTGAAGGTGAAGGGCTTCCGGCGGACGTTGGTGCCGCAGTGCACCTCCCCTAGAAACCTGTGGTAGGCGGAAATGTCATCAATGAAGGTGCAGCAGAGGCCCAGGGGCTCCAGCAGGGAGCGCACATGCGTCTCCAGGCAGCACACATCCTCCACCTGGGGCCCGAACGGCTTGGGGATGCCCAGGTCCTTGTTGAGCACGATCATGTTCACCTGTGACAGGGGAGTGCAACAACAGCTCCTGCTGAGTGAGCACCTACTACGTGGCTGGAACTTTTCTAAGCTCACTGAACTCTCACAACAACCCTATGAAGTAGGTACTATTGTTATCCCCACTTTATAGATGAGCAAACGGAGGCACAGAGGGGCTAAAGTAACTCATAAATGGCAGAGCTAAAGTGGAAAACCAGGCAACCTGCCTCTGTATGGATGTGTGTGCGAAAGTATATACATGTGTACGGTATGTGTACATGTGTACGTACGGGTATCTGCTCATGGCTACGCGCAGTGTGTACGTGCATATCTATATGCATGCATGTGCGTGCATTATGCATTTGTGTTTATACTGTGTATTTGTGTGTGCATGTATATATGTATCCGATAATTTATATGTTGTTGTTAATTGCCATTGAATCAGCTTCAACTCATAGCAACCTTATGTATAACAGGATGATATGTGCCACCACCTGTCTGTCAGTTTGTCATGCTGTGGTGGCTTGCATGCTATTACGATACTAGAAGCTATGTCGCTGGTATTTCAAATACCAGCAGGGTCACTCATGGTGGACAGGTTTCAGCAGAGCTTCTAGACTAAGACTAGGAAGAAGGGCCTGGCATTCTACTTCTGAAAATTAGCCAATGAAAATCTTATGGATTATGTATATGCATCTGTATATATGTGTGTGCCTGTATGTACATTATGTATATATGTGTATATGTTTGAAAATGTGTGTATATGTGTATCTGATTATATATGTATGTGTATATATGTATGAGTATGTGTGTTTATATGCATCTAATTATATATCTGCATGAGCATGTGTGTATATATGCATCTGATTATGTCTATGCATGTATATATGTGTGTGAATGTGTGTATATACGCATCTGATTATGTCTATGTACATGTATATATGTGTGTGAATGTGTGTATATATGCATCTGATTATGTCTGTGTACATGTATATATGTGTGTGAATGTGTGTATATATGTATCTGATTATACATGTGTACGTGTGTGTATATTATTCTAACCTCTTTCTATCTCACTGAGGACTCACCTCTATGATAACAAAAATCCCTCCTATGCATAAAACCAAAAACCAAACCCGTTGCCACTGAGACAATTCCAACTCATAGTGATCCTATAGGACAGAGTAGAACTGCCCCAAAGGGATTCCAAGGAGTAGCTGGTGGATTTGAACTGCCTACCTTTTGGTTAGCAGCCAAGCTCTTAACCACTGCACTACCCGGACTCCCTCCTGTGCATAAAGGACTTTTTAACTTTTGCAAAACCCTCTTCTATCTGTTAAGGTAAAGGATCCTCCAGTACCCCAGTGAGGAGCAGGATAAGTCTATCACCCTCTGGAGGGAAAAGAGGGCCAGAGAGGGGAAGTACCTGGGGTGAGTGGAGTGAGGCTACACCGCAGCTCAGCCAGGACCGGGCCCCCTCAGCCAGGACCCCTTCTGGATCTAGCTGCCCCTATTTGGTCTGGGGTGAGGGTTGAGGACCCTTACCATATTTGGGAAGAAAGCTCTGGCCTGGTGGCCCTCATCCATCTTGAACAGAGCGGGCAGGTCAATGATGTCCTGCTCTGTCAGCCCCAGCTCCTTCTTGAGGATGTCACGGTTCCAGTCCAGGCAGCGCTGGGCAGGGGGAAGGAGGGAGGGCAGGTGGGTAAGGGGACACACTAATGCCACCCAGGCCTGTCCCTGCTACCTTTGTCAACCCCACCCTATCTGTAGCATCAGGCTAAGGGCCGTGGTGCTCCAGGGGACTTCCAGTGCTCACCTGGGCACCCCCCCGACCTCTTCCAGTGCCCCTCTCCACCAGGGCTCAGTACCAGTAGTAATAATAACAACGAAGAGGAAGACCATAGAAATAGTAATAGCAGCTATCATTTACTGAGTACTTACTACAAGCCAGATCCTGTGCTAAGTACTTTCTACACAGTATCTCAATGAATCCTCAGGCCACCCAGTAAGGTAAGAACAACACTGATGATGATTTTGATAATAATAATAAAAAAACCTAATATGTACTAAGCGCCAATCACTGTTCTAGGCACTTTACATATATTCCTTATTTAAGCCTCACAACAACTCCATGAGGTAGATACTATTGTTACTCCTTTTTTTTAGAGAAGAGAGAATCAAAGACAGAGAGTCCTTGGTGACTTGCCCAAGTCCCCCTGCCAGGAGTGGTGGGGCCAGGATTAACTTCAGATCTGCTGAATGCCAGGAAATGACCACTGAGGGGATAGTCTTAATAAATTTAACTTTCAAACAGCCAGAGCCCAGGAAGTGCAGAAAAATGGAGTTGGAGCCCTGATCAACCTGTGCCTGAAATCCACACCACTGCTGGACTTTCCATTTATATGAGTGAATAATGCCTTTTTGTTTAAATCCATCTTAGTGAACTGTAGCGGACCTTGCAGTTGCTTCCCTGGCATCCATTCTACCCCTCCGCCTGCACTGTAGCAGCCATGTTGTTAGGTTGGATTGACTCTACCCTCACCTCCAAGTGAAAACTGATTGGTGGACTCTCACCCCTCTCTCTTTGCCCTGGTTATTGATTCAGGGATGGGCAGTGTCATGGATTGAATTGTGTCCCCCAAAAAATGTGGGTAGCAGCTTGGCTGGGTCATGATTCCCAGTTTTGTATGATTGTGTTATCTGATGTGATTTCCTTGTGTGTTGTAAACTCTACCACTATGATGAGATTATATGTGATCGCCTCATGTGTTATAAAATCTATCACTGTGATGAGGTTATACTGATGAGGTTGACAAGATTAGTGTCTTAATGCAATCTCTTTTGAGATATAAAAGAGAGAAGCAAGCAGAGACACATGGGAACCTCATACCACCAAGAAAGCAGTGCTGGGAGCAGAGCGCGTCCTTTGGACCTGAGGTTCCTGTGCAGAGAAGCTCCCAGACCAAAGGAAGACTGATGACATGGACTTTCCTCCAGAGCCGATGGAGAAAGTGTTGCCCTGGAGCTGATGCCCTGAATTTGGACTTGTAGCCTACTGGACTGTGAGAGAATAAATTTCTCTTTGTAAAGCCATCCACTTGTGGTATTTATGTTGGAGCAGCACTAGATGACTAAGACAGGTAGTATGTCAGGATTAAGCCAATCAGCACATGGAATTCCCCTGGCCATGGAGATTAGTTCGGTTTGGCCCAATCAGAGTAGAATGCAAGGCTTATGTTCAGTTGCTCTCTAATTGTGGATGGTGTGCTGGGTGAATGTGAGCCTTTAAACTGTTCCAGCCATATGGCTACCATGAAGGCACCTGCAGAGCCCAGGAAGTGCAGAGAAATGGAGTTGGAGCTCTGATCAAACTGCACCTGAAATCCACACCACTGCTGGGCTTCCCACTTAAATGAGCCAAAAATACCTTTTTGTTTAAACCAGTTTCAGTTGAGTTTTTTTGCTTATTATTATTATTATTTTCTAAAACTTGGTACTTTTAAATATGCCAACACAAGTAAAAGGAGATTTAACTCAAATAAATACAACTCTTTGGACTAGCTTCTAATTCTGGATACAATCTTTAGGACTCAGGGGCTCAGAAAGTGGGGTCTACCATAGAAAACTTCAGGGATCTGTGATACCCCTAAAACTGTTTAAAATTTAAGACATATGTTTATATATTCATTTTTCTGGAGAACGGGTCTGTAGCTTTCATCAAAAGGGGTATGCCTCCCCCAAATGTTACCGGCTCTAGCCTTATGGAGACCTTGGCTATTTGCCTAGAGTGTCTTCCTTTCTAGGTCTCTGCCTGCTTCTAGCCTCTGCTGACCTGCACATTTCACCCTCCATCTCCGTCCTTACTGTTCAGCTTCAGCACAGGAGTAAAGTGAGTGGGCTGGACCAAAACCTTGTTGAGGCCCTTCCCTATGCTCATGCATCTGCGTGGAGCCCTGAACTCTTGGTCATTCCCATGGAGCCCTGAGGATGTGAGGGGTACCATTGGGCACAACCTGTCCCTCCTGGTGGCCCTCTGCCCTAGCTCCCCAGCACTACTGGGCCCCTGCCCTGCCCTCACCTGGAAGTACTGGTTCTCCTGCATGAGGCTCTCATTGGACAGAATCTTGCTGATGGTGATTCGCTTGCTGCTCATTCCGCCCAAGCCTGTGGGGGTCAGAGAACAGGGGAAAGTCCAGCTTCAGGAACTCAGGCTGGGTGCCCTCCTCTGCTAAGGCCCCCCCCAACCCCTAAGGTAACTGCTGGGCTGGGGTGGGGGATGGGGCTGAGGACAGGCTGGGGCACAGGAGGGCAACTGCAGGAGAAATCAGGCCCCCCTCTGCCTGGGAAGGGCAGCACACTCTGCTCTCCAGAGTCAGCCATGTCACCAAGGCCAAGGAGAAGGGGCATAGCTGCCTTCACTCTCTCTGGTCAGTGGGGTAGGGATGGGGGATACAGGCAGCCACCTGAGTCTCCTGCCTAGAGCCCAGTCCTAAGGATGAGCAGCTGACCAGGGTGAGTGGGGCAAGAGCAGAAGAAACCCAGAGGCATGACTTTCCCATTTTATAGCCCTGCCTCATGCTTGGCCCTGCCCTGGGCTGTGTCTGGCTCTGCCTCCTATTCGACTACGATAGCCCATGTAGCTTCTGGCCTGATGAGTGATGCCTAATGCCCACTGAGCACCTACTATGTGGCAAGCACTCTTCCAAATACTCTACCTGGATTAACTCATTAATCCTCCCCACAGTCCTATGAGGTAGCCACTATCATTAAAGATGAGGAAGCTGAGGCACAGAGAGGTTAAGTGACTTGTCCAAGGTCCCACAGCCAGCAAGCGGCAAGGCCAGTATGTAGACCCAGGCAGTCTCAGAGACTATGCTCGTGACCATTCTTTTTTTTTTTCCTGATCTGGGAAGCACCTACTGGTCTGTTGCACCTCCCAGGCTTGTCACTTGTCAGGGGCAAAGAGATTGGGCTGTTGGGCCTTGCACCCAAGCTGCCTCTACACCACCACTCAGCCCCATTGTACAAAAATGATGGTCCCTACATCCTATGGGTAGCTTTTTGGAGTCACCAGGTGGTGCCAATGGCTAATGCACTTGGCTGCTAACCAAAAGGTTGGAGGTTCTAGTCTACCCAGAGGTGCCTTGGAAGAAAGGCCTGGCAATCTATTTCCAAAAAGTCAGCAATTAAAAACCGTATGGAGCACAGGTCTACTCTGACACAATGGGGTCACCATGAATCCAAGGCAACTCGACAGCAACTGGTTCATGAGTAGTTTTTGGGGTGTGTTTAACTAGAGAAAAGAAGTCTCCAGAAAGTTAGGACTTGTGCCCGCCAATCCAAGAAAAAATTCCAGTCAGTAGAGAACTTAAAAAGGACGATGGTCTTAAATTGGCCTTGTCTATCTAGACACCAATCACTGTCAGGAATACTGTCTTTGGATAGGGAGGGATGGGGGAAGGAAGGAGTGAGGAATAATAGGGATACCAACCTGAAAAGTGACAAAAGTAATTTAAGAGAAAACTGTGTAAGGGATTGTCATGGTCACTCGAGCCTGGCTCATTGTCCTCACTTGATCAACTTTCCCTCTTTCCATGATTAATTCAAGTGCAAACCTGATCCTAGTCTATGTCCGTCCTAATTATGTGGGCATCTAAATTAAGCAGACAGTTTCTCCCTCTGGGGCCGACTGCGATGAATGATGTCTGACCGCCTATCGGCGTCTGTCGGGGCTCACTTTTCTTCCTGTTCTAAACCACATTCTCTATGTTTTTCTCTCTTATCTCCCTCTCTGTAAGTCCCTTGAATCTAGATTGCATGTCAGTTTTGAACCACTTAACTCTCCTCTGGGTCTGGCGTCCTTTAAGCACACGTTGTTGGTAGGTGCTGTCGAGTCCATTCCAACTCAGCAACACCATGTGACAGAGTAGAACTGCCCCACAGGCTTTCTCCCACATGTAAAGCATACGCTAGGTCTTTAAGAAGCACTTGCTTCTGTTGATGATAATAAGGAACAGTGGGCATGGTTCATCTGACCCTTGTCACAACAAGGGTCACCAGAGGGCAGGGCTGCTTCCCACCAGGAAACCTCACAAAGCATGGAGTAGGACAGATGCCCCAAGGAAGTGGACCTGGTGCTCAGGGACAAAGTGCTCATCCCCCAAATCCTCCTGAGGGTCTCTCTGGGCACTCAAGCTCACCTTTCTCTGCCAAGGCCCTGTGGGCACTCACCTTTGAACATGATGGCCTCCCCATGGCCCTCCTTCTGCTTTTCTCGGAAGAGCCTGTAGCAGGCTGAGGTGCTGGCCATGAGCATCCGGAATTGCTACGAGGGAGCCCAGGGGGACAGTTTGAGCAAAGGGAGCCCCTGCCCTAAGGACCCCAGCCCCGTCTGCACACGGCCTCCAGCCTCCCCACACAGAGTGTGAAAGTCTGCCTGGAAAGGTGTTCTCTGTTTCAGAGGAATATTTCTCACCCTCCTCGCTACAGAAATTCCTTCACCTCAGCAGAATGCCATTGAGTCAAAGCTCAGAGTGGAAGAACTTCTCCAAGTGGCCAAGAGGCCAGGCCACGTGCACAATATTTCCAGAGTATAAAGTCACAGTCATTCCTTTCCCTTCAGAAAATGAAAGAATCTCTTTCCAGAACCCTAGGTCCATACCCTATTGCTCTCTAGATATACTGGCCAATATGGAAGCCACTAGCCCCACGTGGCTATCAAGCACGTGAATTGTGGCTAGTCTGAATTGAGATATGCTATGTGAAAACCCCAAGGAGGGCAGTTCTACTCTTAAACACATGGGGTCACCATGAGTGGGGTCACCATGAGTTGGGGCCACCATGAGTTGGAACCGACTTGACACCATCTGGATTTTGGTTTATAAGAGTAAAATACACATTAAATTTTGAAGAGTTAGTATGAAAAAAAGATGTAAAATCTCACGTTAATAATTTTATATTGATTATATGTTGAAATGCTAATTTTTGGCTATATCAGGTTAAACAGACTATTACTAAAATTAACTTTACCTGTTTCTTCTTACTTTTTAAAAAGTGGCTTCTAGAAAATGTAAAATTATATACAGGGCTTGCATTGTGGATCACATTCTGTTTCTGCTGGACTGTACTGTTCTGGCGTGTCCAAATTTCTCGGAGAGCTCTAGGCAGTGTCCATGTCCATGACCATACCACAGTGACAACAAAGAAACCAATTTCAGCCTACTTCCTTCTTCCTCTATGCCAGTTACCTCCTCTAGACCCTGCCCTCTGCTGGCAAGGCATGGTAGTCCCCACCCTATTGACCCCAGGCTCGGGGGCTAGCTCACCTTTGTGCCTGGGATGGGGACAAAGGTCATGAATTCATCCACGTGGCCCACAGTCAGCCAGTCTGAGTAGAGCTCCACGGGTGCCTGCACCTGCTGGGCCTGGAGGAAGTCGCACACTACCTTGGTCATCCTCCGACCACCGGACCTGAGCAAAGAAAAATCTGCCTTTTCATTGGCTGGTGGGTCACCTGGGCAGGTAGTGGGGGTGTCGTGGACATGCCAGGGAACCAGGGACTCATGCTTCTGGGGTACGGCCATGTCTGCTCATGCCTCTTCTGTTTATGGGCAGCCCAGAGGGTTTGCTGGCATGCTCCCACCCATCCCGTGGCAGTCCGTCCCTTCCCTACTTGGCTTATAATCTCACCATAAACCCATTGCCGTCAAGTCGATTCTGACTCATAGTGATCCGATAGGACATAGTGGAACTGCCCCATAGGATTTCCAAGGCTATAATCTGTGGAAGCAGACTGCCACATCTTTCTCCTGCAGAGCAGCTGGTGGGTTCAAACTGCCCATCTTTTGGTTAGCAGCTGAGTGCTTAACCACTTCGCCACCAGGGCTCCTTAATCTCATTATATACCCTCCCATTTTGGGAAGAGTTACTTATTTAGTTTTATATTGGATCCTAATTCATACTAAGATGTAAAGGCTAACTTGATTTTCTTTCCAAGAGTGTCTATATCTTATAAGAGAGTCATGGGAGGAGGTAATTTTCCCAGCCAATCACTCCATGTTTAAGCAATCCAGGCCATCCCTAATGAAAAACAGTGACTCCCTACCCCCACAGAGCCCACGTCGCTTGTTTTCTCTTACAGAGGAAAGCTGCTTCCGATGAGGATCCGGCCCAGGGGATACACCTTGCCGTTTACTGTCACTGGGGGACTGACCTCCAGGTTCCCAAAGGAGTCAAGGCTGGTAACAGGCTCAAAGAGGGGCTCCCGGGTCACGTAGCCAAAATCCGGGCCCTGGGCAGAGGGCACACATCTGTCATTAATCTCCACAGCCGGCAGTTGTCAGTCCCTGACCCAGCCCCCCTCTGACAGACAATCTTTCACCACCTTCGGCCTGGCACTGTGGGCCATAACCTCTAGGGGGGTTGCTCATGGTCTCCTTATCTCCACCAAAGGGCAGGGGCCTGGGCCCGGGGGAGGCTAAGCTTGTGAGCATCTTGCTGTGACTGTGGGTATGAGTGTGAATATGTGAGTGTGTGTGAGCATGTGTGTGAGTGTGGGTATGAGTGTAAGTATGTGTGTGCAAGCGTGAGTGTGTGTGAGCATCTCGGTGTGAGTGTGGGTATGATTTTAAGTATGTGGATGTGTGAGCATGTATGAGTGTGAGTATGTGAGTGTGTGTTCACATGTGTGTGTGTGTGTATGTGTGCACCTGGGTCTCTGTGGGTGCCTCTAACTCCATCCCAAATGTCACAAACACATAATGGTGATTGCAGGATTAGTCTTCCTTTGTGCTATTGATGCCCTTGCTCATCTCTTACTTTCTCTGGCCCCCAATTTCCCCATCTCTAAAAGAGGTGTCAGAGTAGTGGACCTGAGGCAGGGTAGGAGATTATATTATTGTCCCCAGAGATTTGCTACCCACTTTCCAGTAAGGATTTTGCATCCCAACCCATTGCCTTGTGATTTGAGAGGGAATACACTTCCCTATCCTAAGGCAGACGTGGTCATGTGACTTGCTTTGGCCAATGAAATGTGAGCAGAAGTGATACATGCAAGTTAAGAGTGGAAGTTTTAAGAAGCACTGCATGAGTCTGCCACTTCCCTTTCTCTTCTCCCTGTGCCAGGTAATGACATTTCCCTGGCCTCTAGAATGAGGAAGCCCCAAGGAAGCAGAGCCACAGACCACTGACCAGCAGTCAATATGGAATGCAAGGAATAAACCTTTGCTTGTCACTCACTGAGATTTGGGGGTTGTTTGTTAAGGCAGCCTTGCCTAGTGAAAGCTGATCAATACATGTGGGGATGGTAGATGTACAGATATTTAACATGGGAATGTGACTCATTCCCAATTAAACATTATTGTGCACTGAACCCAGATGCAGCCTCAGAATCCTTCTTAGCACAGAGTTCCAACAGACTGGAGTTGGCACTTGAGACATAGCTCTGCTGACCCCTTGAATATTAGGGTTCTTTTCATAATTTTTTGATTAAAAAAAGTAGGGACCTTGTTTGGGAGCTTGTACAACTTGCTGGGTCTAAAGCTTGCCTGACAAAATCCCTGTTGACAAAAAGCAGTGGAGTGGGAGGATGCCGCTTATCCTGGCCCAGCTGAGAGGCTCAAGGGACAGCTGCGCCCAGTGGGCTGGGTCGCTACAGCTGAGCACTTTCTTGCCTGGGAGCCCCAGCTGGTGAGGTGTGAGCTCCCCCGAGGGTGGGGCAGCTGGGGCTTTACAGCATCACACTGGTGGGCGGGCAGGAACAATGCTGCTTGGGGCCTTGGAACCAGGCCAGTGGGACATTGAAGGAAGGTGGCAGCCCAGGGAATATAGAGAGGGCAGAATCTGGGAGGCCTCCATTCGCGTGCCTGTGGTGACCGCTGCTTGTGGCCAGTTTGACTCAGCCCCTCATAATGTATGGGGGATGGGGATGGGGACAGTATGCTTACCAAAGGCAGCATCCAAGGCTTTGGAATGATTATCACAACAACAGCGAACAATGGTCATTACATCAGGTGCAGCGCTGATGCCTGAGTACCTTCAATCTTCACCACAATCCTATGAGACCTATACTGTTTCTATCCCCATTTTACAAATGAGCAAACTGCGGCTCACAGAGCTTAAGTTGCTTGCTAAAGGTCACATTGCTGCTAAGGGATGGAACCAGGACTCAAGGCCAGGTCCATATGACAGTGCAGACCTTTGTGCTCGCACTATTGGTTCTACCTTCTCTCTCGGGTGAGGGGACAAGGTTAGTGAATGCTTTCAAGAAGCATGTGTGAACTTGGCAGTGGTCACCTCTGAGCAGGCCTGATGCCAAAGGGGAGGCTGCCCTGCATGTGACCTCGGGAAAGCCACCTGACTTACCTGGGTCTCATGCTCTGTCCAAGCCTCCCCGTCTACTCAGGGCAGAAGGGTGAGGATGAAAGGGAGATTGATTTCAGTTCTGCCCTCACATAGTAGGTTGTGGAGGGCATACAAGGGGAGCAATAATGGCCTCTAGAATTGGGGGAGTCAGACTGCTTAAAAAAAAAAAAAAGTTGAAAACCAGGGCCTCAAGGTCCTCACGAGCTTTGAAGTTGGAACCATGATTTTCAACAATTGCGTAACCATCTATTTCCCCTTTGAAAGTTTGTTTCGTTGCAGGTTGGAGGTGGGGCAGCGGCGGGGACAAAGCCTTGGAGCCGGGTCTTGCCCAGCCTGTCTCCTGCAGTTCCCATGTCTTGGAACTCAGCATGTCTTGGAACAGTATCAGTTATTTGAGCAGGAAAGGACCTCAGAGGGCACTACCGCAACTGACGCATTTTGCAGAAGAGAAAATGTAGGCTCTAGGCAGCTGACTAATTTGCCTAAGGGCACTCAAGGTCTGCTGGCTGTTCTGTCCTGTAGGAATCCCCAGGATGGCCCTGCCAGGTGGCCCTTAGCCTCTCACCAGGAGCTGCTTCACTGGGAAGTCCTTCAGGCTTCCATCTCGGGGGGAGTCCAACACCACCGGGAAACCTTTGTGGGGGGCCTCGATGTAGCCAAACTCGATTTCATCCTGTGGGGACACCAAAGAGAGCCATCAGATGAGCCAGTAGGGCAGGATGAGCCCGAGTAGAGGCCTCTCCCAGAGGCACCAGGGAATACCAGCTGGCCTGACTGGGGCTGGTGAGGGGTTCGTGAAAACGCAAGTAATTTGTGCAACAGGCAGAAAACTCAAAAAGCACAAAAGAGTATAGAGTGAAAAGTAAGTCTCTTGTACTCTGTCTCCTGGTCCCCAATTCTCCTCACCGCAAACAAAAGATGGCAGTAGTTTCATACATATCCTTCTAGAAATAGTCTCAGCATATTGCAAGCATGTTTGTATGTATGTCAGCCCCATTTTTTAATTGTCGTGAAAATATACACGCTAAAACATTTGCCAGTACAACTTCTACGTTTACAATTCAAAGACATTGATTATATATTTCATGTTGTGCCACCCTTATCATTATTCTTTTCCAAATTGCTCTGAGACCATTAACATAAACTCCATGCCTCCAAAGAAAAACTCCCCTTTTCTCCCTCCCTCCCATCTCAGGTAACCATGAATAACCTTTGGTTTCTATATATTTGCTTATTTCATATAAATGAGATCATATAGTATTTGTCCTTTTGTCCTGTTTCACCCGGCATAATGTTTTCAAGGTTCATCCACGCTGTGGCATTAATCAGGGCTTCCTTTTCACCCCATTTCTTTTTTTTGACATAAATGACGGCATCTTGTAAGCATCTTCCTGCAAGTAATAAGTTAAGTTGGGGCTCCTTCTGTTTCCGTACTTATAGACTGGCCTCATTCTCTTAGCTGTTGCATAGTGCTCTGTGGTAAGGCTCTACCAGATATATTTGACTAGTCCCCTATGGATGGACACTTAGGTTGTTTTTCAGTCTTTTGATACAAGAAGCAACACGGCAGTGAATTGCCTTCTCCATTCTTGTCTTTGTGCACATGTGCCTGTATCATCTGATGGAAGAATTTCCATATAAGAGTGGCTGGGCACAGTGTACTCTTCTGGCCTGGCCCTGAGGACCTGCCCTTCTCAGCCTGGCCCCTTACCTGGATCCAGCGGTCACCCCGGTTCATGTACTGGAAACAGACCTTCAGTTCGCAGTTGGTTTTCTCGACCAGGTTCTTCACTTCTTTCAGGAATAAGTAATTGTCCTTCATGCTAAGAAGTTTGGGGGAGGCAAGGTGGAAGGGTGAGGAGGGACAAAGGCCTGCCCTACAGAGGTTACACTGTGCTGGGCAGATGAGACACCATCTGTGTTCTCTGTCCCCTTGGGAAAGTCTGCCAGAATTCAAGGCCAAGTTTTCTCATAATCCCACCCGCTTGTGTGGTGTTTTGTCAAGGTCATGAGCAAATAAAATGAGGAGGGGACTCTCACCTTCACCTGCCACGAAGCCTCACATCTCTGAGTGCGCCTAGATGTTTGAAAAAGAACTATTCCCAGGGGGAGCACAGTGCTGCCTAGCACAGGGGCAGGGAGTGGGCCCAGGACCTTGGGGTCCCCTTCAGTGCTGCAAGCTATCTACCTGTAAGCACTTCTTTCCCCTGCTTCTCATCTTGCTGTGTCTGCCTAGCAGATAATAACCATTGCCTTCGAGTCAAATATTAACTCATTGTGACTCTACAGGACAGGGTAGAACTGCCCCATGTGGTTTCCAGGGCTGCAATCTTTACAGAAGCAGACTGCCACATGTTTCTGCCATGGAGCGGCTGGTGGGTTTGAACTGCCAACCTTTTGGATAGCAGCCAAGCACTTAACCACTGCACCACCAGGGCCCCTGAAGCACCTAATAGGGGCTGAGTAAAACTCTGCTTAATGAACGAGTAAACTGAGCTGAATATCTACTGCACAGGAAGCTCCCAACTGCGTAGTGCTGGCCAAGGCTACAAAAGGAAAGGGTAGCTATTATTTTTAGTGCACACACTCTGTGCCAGGGCCATGCATAGATGCTTTGCATGTTTCATCTCATTTGATCCTCACAGTGACACTGTGATGTGGGCATTTCAGAGACACCAAGGCACAGAGAGACCAAGGGAGCTGCTCAAGGCCACACAGCTGGTAAGCAACAAGGCCAGAGTTCTAACTCAGGTCAGTCTGGCCCTGAAGCCTCAGCTCTCGGCCACCCCCTACCAGCACACAAACACCGACACTGGAGGCAGGATGTTCGGTGTCATGATCCACGGAGCGACCCGGAATGTCACGGTGTCCGTGAAGATGGGCGTCAGGGGAATCTCCTGGGTGTGGGAAAGAGGAGGGAAATTGAAAAGTCACGTCATGGTGCCTTTAAAAGAGGTGAAACTGATAACAATATTATATATTGAGCACTTACTGTACGCCAGGCTCTGTGCTAACTATTTGTACATGCACCAATTCATTTCTGCCTTACAACAACCCCAGGGGTAGATACCACTATAATCCTCATTACACAGATGGGGAAACTGAGTCCTAGAGATGTTAAGTAACTATCATGGTTACCTGGTAGATCCAGGACTTAAACCCAAATGGTCTGACTGCCGAAACTCTTAGCCACCATCCTATCTTTTCCTGTTCGAAGTTCTCTTCCTGAAATTGACCACAAGATGGCTGAGCCAGCCCCATGCCTTCTTCTGTTTTTGCTCTGGGCACCTTGCCCTTTTCTATGTATGAGCATTTTAAAGTTGTCTGCTATAGCCAGGCTGTTCTTTGTTTTAAGGAAAGGTCCAGGCAGTTTGCCTGGAACCTGAGGGAAAATGTGAAATGATTCCAGGGTTCCTTTGAGCAGGTGCTTTGAAAAGCTACATAAAACCCGTCCCTGCTCTTGGCAGGGAGGACGGGGATGGGGGCGGGGTGGGGGAACAGGGATGGGGATACGGATGGAGGGTAGGGGGCTGGGACTGTGGGTGCGGCTTGCCACACACGCCACACTGCTTGGCTTTCCTGCCCAGGTCTGCCTTTTGAGTCTCTGCTGGTGCTCGCAGACGGGGCCAGTCTGGGAGACCTGAGGGCCAGGCTGCTCTGGGCATGAGTGGGAGCAGGAGAAGCCCCTTCCCCATGCCTGGTCCTGTAGCTTTGTCCTTTCTGCCCTCCCCTCTTCCCAGGAGCATGACGGTCCTTTTTTTTTTTTTTAAATATTTTATTGTGTTTTTGGTGAAAGTTTACACAGCAAGTTAGGTTTCCCTTTGACAATCTCCACACAAATTGATCAATGACCTTAGTTACATTTTTCACATTGTGTCATTCTTGTTGTGTTCTGGTTGTTCCATCTTAATATTCTAGATCCCTTGCCTCCTTATCTTGTCATCTTTGCTTTGGAATAAATGTTGGCCTTTTGGACTCATAAAAAAACCAAACCAAAACCCGTTGCCGTCAAGTTGATTCTGACTCATAGTGACCCAATAGGACAGAGTAGAACTGCCCCATAGGTATTCCAAGGAGCAGATGATCAATTTGAACATGCTGACCTTCTGGTTAGCAACTGAGATCTTAACTACTGCACCACCAGGACTCCTTTTACAGATTTTTTTTTTTTTTTGTAGAGCACTGATCTAACGGGTAATATCTTTTATTTGTGTGTCATTCTGCTTTTCTGTTAAAAGGTGATCTCAGGGGGTGGTTTTAGGTTTGAAGAGTGTCTCAGGGTTATAGTCTTAGGGAGTCCTCTGATCTCAGTGGTCCAGTTAATCTGGCCATTTTTATGAATTTCAGTTTTGTTCTGCATTTTTCTCCCATTCTAACCAGGATCAGCTATTGTGGCCCTGGTCAGATCAGTCAGTGGTGGTAGCGGGGCACTATCTAGTTCTTCTGGTCTCAGGGTAGTTGAGGTCATGGCTCTTGTAGGCTATCAGCCTTGTAGACTTGTTTCTTTTCTGTGATTTTGGTTACTTGCTTATTCTTTTGCTCCTGGTAAGTAGAGACCAATAGTTGTATCTTAGATGGCCACTTGCAAGCTTTTAAGACCTCAGATGCTATTCACTTCACTAGGATGCAGAACATAAACTTTGTGAACTTATTATGCCAACTGACTGAGTTGTCTCATGAGGCTAAGGTCCTAAGCTTTCAAACCTAGAAAACCAGTCTCGCAAGGTATTTTGTTATGTCTGAGAAGTATCTGTAATTGTGTCTTCTCTGAATGTATGTGCCTGCACACACATATCTGTACTTACATGTACATATAGATACTTCTATCTGTGCACACGTACATATACAACTGTACCCCCATATACCTATTTGCTTATACACATACATATGTCATCATACACTCATTTTTTTGGTCACTGTCGGTACTGTTGCCGACTTATGTATGTCAATTTCTTTAGTACAAGCCTTTTCTCTTGAGAACTTCTTAGTGACATCATTTACTTTGGTTAAGCTGTGTTCACTACACCCACATTTGGTGCCACTTTTCCCATCACCAAAAATAACAAGTATTTACAATCTAGAGCATGGGTGCAGGGGCCTCTAGGCCTCCAAGTCTGGGCCCCCTCTTGGTACTTTGAGGAGAGTGAAGCAAAGTGTGGACCCCTGGGAGTGGCCTTGTAGCTGGAGTGGCCCACTCCCTAAGGGATGGCCAACAGAGAATTTTCAGGCCAATTCATAGCACATGTATTGAATTACTACTCTGTGACCAGCATGGGCAAGGACCTTCAGAGATGGAGATTATCAAAATGTAGCATCTATGGGCCTAAGATCCTGACCCCCAGGGGCAGCCAGCCCCTCATGGAGGAAGCCTAGAGCCCTCACCTCAGCCATATACTCCAACAGGCTGACGTGGATGGAGACCAGGCCTGAGAAGCCCTCATCGGGGAAACGTAGGCCTTCCACGAAGAACAGCAGCTCCGCAGAGCCGCCTGTGTACTTGACCACATGGTAGAGCTTCTGTCGGCCCAGGATGTGGATATAGCGCTGGCCGAAGAATGGGTCTGGAGAGAAAACAATCAATGTTAGATCCCCAGCACCCACCAGGAAGAGGTCAGTGAGATGGGATCATCGATGGGGGAAAGATGGTAGAATAACTTGTCCTCTAGACACAGGCAGAAAAGCACAAGCAGAAAATGCCACCAGAGTGGAGGCAGCCTGGCCGTAGTCATCGTCTCAGCACTGCTATGCAGAGGCTCTCAGCACTGAAACAAACAACTTCTCTGGCTCTGGCTTCCTCATCTATACGATGGACTAACTCTCATGAATGGCACATATGAAAATGATAGCAGATGATTGCTGAGGAGCTAGTGGTGTCAAGGAAGGATATTGTTCCTATTTTATAGATGAGGAAACTGAGTCTCTGAAAGGTGAAATGGCTTGTCCAAAGTCAAACAGCTCACTAAGTTGAGTTGCTAAACTGGAACTCCAAAGTTTCTTCCTCTTTATATAAATAAAACACACATATATCCATTTGTACCAAAAATTCCCCTCCATATAATGGAAGCCACACTGGCATAAAGACCTGTGCATAGGGCTCTGGCTGCACATTTCATGGCTGTGAGGAAAAGCAGGTTTCCTGCTCTTCTGAGCCCATCTAGCTTTCCACAGTGCTGTCCCTTCTCCTTGGAACAGTCAACTCCCTCCCTCCTTCAGGTCTTGATTTGTGTCACTTCTCGGAATCCTGCCAAGATTTCTAAGCTAGGGGCTCTGGAGCTTCCACAGCCCCTTGCCCTTCTCCACCATAGCCCTTCACACTCTGTGTGATCTTGTGTGTTTAGCCGGCAGCCCTGAGAGACTGTCACCCACCTGATGGCAGGGACAATGCCTGCCTCACACACTTGACACGTCCAGCCCAGGCACAATGCCTACCACACGGCAGTGTTTAGTACCTGGCCACCAAATGAACGTATGACTCCCACACCACTCCCTATGGGAGAGGCCAACAGAGAATTTTTAGGCCAATTCATAGCACATGTATTGAATTACTACTCTGTGCCCAGCATGGCCAAGGACCTTCAGGAGAGATGGAGATGATCAAGATGCAGCATCTGTGGGTCTAAGAGCAGTGCTGAGCTAATGATAAGATAAAGTAGATGTGGGAAGTGTTATAAGGGAGCCATGAGTAAGAGAAAGATCCTGTCTCATTATCTGGAATAGGGGAGGGGAGGCCGGATGGAAGCATCTGAACAGAGGAAGGCAGCAACTGTGGTGTCCTTGCAGACAGCAGAGATGGGGTGCAGGTGGGGAGAGGAGATACTTGCTTTGGCAAAGGCATGGAGGTAGAACCCTGTGCAGCTCCAGAAGGAGTTTCTTTATGCCCTGTAGAGCTAGAAGGGCAGAATCAGGCTCAGCATAGTATGACTGTCAACAACAATGGTAATGGTTAATGAGCAGTCACTCTAGGGTTAGAATATGTAAGGAGAACAGTCCTGGCACAAACAAGGTGCTTGATTAAAACTTGTAAAATAAATGGATAAACCACTGAAGCACTCAACTAGATGCTGGCTGAATATCTCCCAAATACATGTCTGTGGCCACCAGGCACAAGAAAGTGTAGATTACTTTAGTAGTTACGACTTCCAGTGTCAAAGATACCTGGGTTCAATTCCCACTCTGGTCTTAACTAGTTGCTGTCGAGTTGATTCTGACTTATGGTGATCCCATGTGTGTCAGAGTAGAATTATGCTCTATAGGGTTTCCAATGGTTGATTTTTTGGAAGTAGACCACCAAGCCTTTCTTCTGAGGTGCCTCTGCATGAATTCGAACCCCTAACCTTTCGGTTAGCAGCTTAGCACGGTAACAGTTTACACCACACAGCTCAGGGATCCTACCCTGATAAGCTGCAAAACCTCAGGGAATTCACTCAGACTCTCTGAGTCTCAGTTTACTCATCTGCTAAATGGGGATGCTAATATCTACATCATAGGGTTGCTACAAGATAGAACGACATAGCATGGGTAACAGATGGAGGGCTCACTGCTGGGACCCGCTGGGATTACTACTCTGAGAGCCTGTGAATGAGTCAGTGCACCCCAACTGCAAAACTCCCGACCTTCTCACAAACACCTTGTGAATAGCTTCCAAATAGAAGGCAAAGAAACAATATCTCACCTCACCCTCCCTTGGGCAGCTCCCAGAACTGAGGTAGATAGATTATGATACACTGAATATCCCAAAGAATTTGTCACCAGACAACAAGGAAGGTGACATCCTTCTCACCCAGAAACGACAGTGTGTGCAGTGGGGCCCAATCAGTGGGTAATCCCAGCTTAATTTGTATCATGAAAAATATCCTCCCCCAGGTACTCGGGCCCTCCCACATGCATGTCCTGGGCCGCACTTAAACTGATGCTCTGGGGGAGAGATCCAGGCCTAGCAAGCCAACTTGTTTTTACAGAACTGGCAGCTCCAAAGCTTTCCTGGGGTTCGTGGCAGCCAGCAGCTCTGCCAGGCTCCAGGGTGGGAGAAGGGGTTGTGCCAGTGGAGCTGGGCCACTGGAAGGCCACATTCTAGTCTATCTGCCGGCACCTTTCTTTCTCCGCATGTGGCCTGTGGCTTGTGATTCACAGTGTGTCTCTCTTTCCTGGGTCTCTTTCTTGTGGCTTGGGCCAGCTCCAGGCAGATTGATTCCTCAGTGAGAACAATCGGCTATTGTCCTGTGAAGCCTCCTTCCTGCATCCCTGGCTTGGTGCAGACTGGCCTGAGCATGGGTGGCTCTCTCTGCAAGAACCAACAATGCCCCTTTATTGAGCAGCCCACATGCCTTGGGCTGGGTCTGCCAGTCACCCTGATCTCTTACCCCCACCGTGGCCCCAGCCAGCCAGCTGCAGGGCAGGGCTTGGCATAACCCTACCGGTCACCACCTACTAAGGAACTTCCTTGATAATGTGACCAACTGACTTGGTTTGCCCGGAACAAGGGACCTTTAGTGCTAAAACCAGGCAAGTCCTGGGCAAAATGGGACAAGTTGGTCACTCTATCATTTTAGGAAGGGGCAAGGCCCCAACTTTGTGGGTTTTGGGGCAGAATCTGAGGCTGGAGGATAGATACCTGGGTCTTCATAATAGAACTGGAGACTTCTATCCACTCCAGTGATTACAATTAATCATCATCATCATCATAATTCCAACAAAAGCAACAAGTGCCATTTAGAGAGAACATTTCAGAGCCCACGGACTGAGCTGAATGCCTTCTACTTCATTTAATCCCCATCACTATCTGAGGCAGTTGAGACTATTGTTATTCCCACCAAGGCCCAGATCCAGGACTTGAACCCAAGATTTCCCTACTGCAAGGCTCCGTCTCACGGTCCCTAAGTCCAGCCCAGCCCCACTGTCCTTGAGGAGAGCTGGACCATCTCTACTGGGACATAGGGAACACGTGTAACACAGCATGTTCTTATCCACAGGTATACTCAGATTTTGACAAAACCTCAAAATGTTTGCAAGGAATAAAAGGAAGCTGTGCCATAATTATTTTTTCACCTCTTTTTTTTTTTTTTTTTTTTGGTGTTCTGCAGTGTTCATCAAGAATTCCACATTTTGTGTGGAACAGAATTTCAATTCTCGTGGAATTCAGACTTTCTGGAGCCCATTGAGGCTGGATGAACCCCCAAAACTATTTCCCTGAGATAATCTTTAAACCTAAAACTTTAAACAAAAATATCCCCTGAAATCTTCTTTAAATCAAGCAATAATTTAGCTTAATTAGTAAAGAATGTCTGCCTTGAGCGTTGTGCTCTTTTAAAGACCTATCTGTATGAGATCAAACTGAAAACAGCAACTCGAAAAGTCAGATAAGAAGCTTAGGGGGAAGTGAGTTTACATCAGTGGAGGAGGAATAAGTTGGAAAGGGAGGGTAAGAATGGCTGTACCATTTGAGGAATGTAATCAATGTCACTGAATTGTACATGTAGAAATCATTAAGTTTGTGTATGTTTTGCTGTGTATACTTTCAGCGACAACAACAAACAAAGAATTCCACATTTTGTGAGAAACTAACTATTCCGGGGTCGTCACTGTCTCAGTAATGGTCACTCCCCGCAGGACGGGCAGCCCAGATAGGACAGCCGCTGGGGATGGGCTTTCTCAAATCACTTGCTGTAAGCTGTTCCTCCTTTTTCTTTTTTAATTGTACTTCAGGTGAAGGTTTACATAACAAATAGTTTCTCATTACTGTTTTATGACATTGGTTAACAAGCCCACAACATGCCAACCCTCTCCCTTCTCGGCCTTTTTTTTTTTTTTTCGGTGAAAATACAGATAGCAAAAGATACACCATTTCAAAAATTTCTACATGCACAGTTCAGTGACATTGACTACACTCTTCCAGTTGTGCTGCTATTCTCACTTTAGATGAAGTGTTCCTCCTTTTTCTTGCTGGCTCAACACACATCTTAGATGGCATGGTAGGGGGAGGGATGTTATGTGGCCTGACCTGAATCCATTTCCATTAAGAAAAAGAGAAAACTGCTTGATAATGTCCAAATGTGACTATTAGCAACAGGTCTCTGGGATGGGCCTCCCAGATGGTCGGGCCACCCTGGCGTGTCATGACACCACAGTAGAGAACCCCAGGTCAAGGTCCTGCCTACACCCCTCCTGCCCCTGCCTATGGCCTGGTCCCTAGTGGCAACACTTGCCTGGATGGGGTAAATATCAACATCTCCAGCCTCCTGGGGCAGCGGAGCCAGCCTGACATTCCAACCTCCGTGAGGTCACTGCCTGGGCCCAGGGTGGATCAGAAGGAGGCTGGCACTGGGTGGCAGCTATCCACTGCTGTCCTGGCTGAATCACTCCCTGAGGTGAGGGTCCAGGGCCCCCAAGACCAACTCCTGATGGCCACTGCCCTGGCTCTAATGGCCTGTCCAGAGATGGGTACCTGAGCTGGGCCTGAAATCCTGGGCCCCCCAGAGAGCTAGGCAGGCGGGGAGCCCCACCCCACACCAAGGCAAATTGCAAAGTTAACTCTTCTGCTGAGAGAGCTTTTTAATACATAAATCAAACCTCGACAGTCCCTTGTTGAATATCTTCTAATGGCTTTCCTTTGCACTCAGAATACAATCCAAACCCTCTTGCATGCTCTGGCCCCTGCCCAGCTCGCTGACTTTGTTCCCTAACACGTCCCCCTGCTCTGTCTTCTTTCTGCTCCTCCAATGCTGCTCCAAGCTGGTTCCTCCTCTGTGTTTTACCCATGCTGTTCCCTCTGCTTAGAACACCCTTCCCTCAGTTTGTGAATAGCTGATTCATTCTCATTGTTTGTTTGGGTCTCAGCTCAAATGTCACCTTTCCTGACCACCCAGGCTCGGGTCCCCTTGCCTCTGCCCCAGCCATTCTCTCTTACTTGGTCTATTTCACTTCCTTCAGTTGTGCTCTTTATTCAAATGTCTCCTTCACTAAACTGTCAGCTCCTTGAGGGCAGGATGCAATGTCTTGTTCACTGTGGTGACCCCAGCACCAAGAACAGCACCTGATGGGGACACTGGTGGTTCAGTGGTAAAATTCCCAACTTCCATGCTAGAGACCCAGGTTTGCTTCCCAGACAATGTATCTTAAGCACAGCCACCACCTGTTCCTCAGTGGAGGCTTGCGTGCTGCTATGATACTGAACAGGTTTCAGCAGAGCTTCCAGACTAAGACAGACTAGGAAGAAGGCTTGGCAATCTACTTTTGAAATATCAGCCAATGAAAACCCTGTGGATCACAACGGTCTGATCCTGTTGTGCACAGGGTGCCATGAGTTGTGGACCGACTCAAAAGCAGCTAACAACAACAACAACAGTGCCTGGCACCAGGGGGCCCAACACATATTTATAGAAAGAATGTCACAGAGCAGGCTGCTACGAGGAGTAGCTCTATGGCAGAAGCACATCCCAGCATAGCTGGGGCCCAGGATGCTCTGTTGCCATCAAGAGAACAAAGGGTCTGCTCCTTGAGGCCTCCCGTAGTATCTTCAGGGAGTCTTTAAAAGTTGGAGGCAGTTCTCAGCTTCAGAAAGTCTGAGATGGTCAGAACACACCTGGAGGTGGTGCTTGCCTCTGGTGTCATGGAGGTGATATGACTCCAGAAAAGAGTAATCTCAAAAGTCCTTATTCCCCTGGGTCTTCAGGAAGATGGGCCTCTGGGTTCCACATAAACGCATGTCACTACCAACTCCTTTGAGATGAGGAGAGGTATATCCTCATGCAGTATATTGACTTCACAAGACAACAGCATTTCCTAGTTACTATTACTAAGAGGAGTCCCTGGGTGGTGTAAATGGTTAACCAGCTCAGCTGCTTACCACAAGGTTGGGGGTTCAAGTCTACCCAGAGGTGCCTCAGAAAAAAGGCCTGGTAATCTACTTCCAAAAAGCAGCCATTGAAAACCCTATGGAGCACGGTTCTACTCTGATGCACAAGGGGTCGCCATGAGTTGAAGCCAGCATCTGGTATATATTCCTAAGAGGTCCTACCTGGTCTTCTGCAGTCACCTGCACCTCCAGAGGCCACGACTGCTAAAGGAGGGTCCTGAGTGGGAGTGGGTGGCTTTAGAGGATGGTGCTGGGCCCCAGTGAGCACTGAATGGGTCAGAGCTGCTGGAAGGGCTGGGCTGGGGTCACTCACTCTCCACATAGAACACGCCCACTTTGTCCGAGTCCGACATGGAAATGTAGAGAACTATCTCGTATCCGGCTGGGAGGCGGTCAGGGCCCTTGGTCCGCAGGATCATCTGGGACATGTCCTTGAGGTCTGAAGGACAGACACACCAGGAGGTTAGAAGGAGAGACCTGGTGTGGGAGTGTTGCCTTACAAATATCTTCTACTTTTATAATCGGAAAAAGCAAAAAACAAAAAGAAAACAACAAAAAAACCCTGACATACGTATGTTACGGAAACTATAGAAAAGCCTAAAGGAAAACGTGAAAACCAGTCCTCATCTCCAATACCAGAGACGACCTCCTATTAACCTTTTGGGAATTTCCTTCCAGTCTTTTTTCTATGTTATGTGTGTAATTTTTTTAAAACACAGTTGCAGTTGAACTGTATTTACAGTTTTGCCTTCTGCTTTTAGTGAGAGTGGGTATTTGAGTCCACCATCTCCAGGAGACCCAACTCCAAACCTGCCTCAGCCTCGGCAGCCCAGGACTCAGCATGAATATTTCCACTGCTCCTCCCTCCCTGTGCCTGCACCTTCACACCTCCCTCCCTCCCAGTGAGCTGGGGTCTTGCTGGCACCTTCCTTGCTGTAGACCTTCTCGTCACTGCTGTCCTCCTTAGGCAGCCAGGGTGTGTCTCGGTCACAGTTCACCAGCAGGATGGCCCCCTGGCCCTCAGGACCCCAGGTCCAGGATGCCTGCAGGCGCAGGGAGAGAGGTCAGTGCTATCTTCTCTACCTTTTGACAGATAGTCCCAACCCCAGTGCAGACCCCGGAGGATATGAGAGAGACGGCTCCAGGATGACATGAAAGAGTAGCCACCACTTATTGGGGCAGCTGTGACCTGGCAACTGTGAGTCCCAACTCTGATGCCCAGAGAGGATCAATGCAAGAGTCAAGGGCAAATTCGGGAGGTGGATATGCAAGAGACAGACAGGGAGGCTGACCGGGCATTAGTGAGCTTCATGCTGGGTGGAGGGAGTGGGAAGGGAGGCAGAGGGCAGCCAGAGAAACAAGCAGATAGATATCCTAGACAGGTCCTACGTTCCCAGTGGGGTTAAGGGGGAGACACTTGGATAGATAGACATCCAGCTCTTTCTAAACATGCTTCAAGTGTTTCAAGGGGGACCTGCAAGGTGATCCGCTTTCTACACTGCAGCCAGAGTGATCCTAGAACAAACTCCACCAGATCATGTTGTGTCCTGCTTTAAGACCTGTCAAGGCACCCTGTTGACTTAGGATTAATCCTCAAACCCTCATGTAGCCTGCAAAGCCCTTCGAGACCTGCCTACCTCTCCAGCGCATCCTTTCTACCTCCCCCTCCCTTGCCCTGCTTCCATTCCTCAAAGACTCCAAACTCTTGTGTCTTTGCCCATGCTGGTCTCTGCCTAGAATGCTGTCCTGCCTGCCTTTGCCTGGCCAACTCTACTCCTTCTTCCTGTCTCAGATAATCCATTAGTCCCTTCTTCCAGGAAGCCCTTCTGATTCTCCAGACCAGAGCAGCTTCCTTGGCTTACACCTGTGGCAACGGATATGTCCTTTGTCGGAGAACTAAGGACAATTGTGTTGACACAGCCACCATGTCATTGTCTATTTAATGTGGGTCTCCCCGCTCCAGACTGTGGGTTCCCTGAGGGCAGGGGCTGCATCTAGGACTGGAATATAAAAATGCTTGTCTTAGTTATCCAGTGCTACTATAAGAGAAATACCACAAGTGGATGGTTTTAACAAACAGAAATTTATTTTCTCGTCGTTTAGGAGGCTGGAAGTCCACATTCAGGGCGCTGGCACTAGGGGAAATCTCTCTCTGTCGGCTCTGGAGGAAGGTCCTTGTCTTTTTGAGCTTCCGCTCCTGGGTGATCTTCATATGATTTGGCATCTCTCTTCCCCCATCGCTACTTCCTTAATCAGCTTCTTTTTATATCTCAAAAGAGATTAACTCCAAACATATCCTACTCTATTCCTGTCTCATTAGCATAACAAAGACAACCCATTCCCAAATGGGATTATAACCACAGGCATTACCAAACCCAAACCAAACCGATTACCATCCAGTCGATTCTGACTCATAGCAACCCTATAGGACAGAGTAGAACTACCCCACAGGGTTGCCAAGGAGCGGATGGTGGATTCGAACCGCCAACCTTTTGGTTAGCACCAAGCTCTTAACCAGTTAACCAGGGCTCCAACTACAGGCATAGAGGATAGGATTTACAGCACATATGTCTGGGGGACACAATTCAATCCATAACAATGCTCAACAAACATGTATGGATGAGTGAAGAAAATATGACAATGTTACTGAGCCAGGTGGAGACATTCAGGACAATTTCAGGTCCACAGGGCTTGGTGACTTTGTCAAAATCACAGAGCCCTTGGGGAGGATATAAACCTCTCCCCAGGGCTGCTGGGCTCAAATGCCTCCATGGGGTTGGCTGTCACGTGCCTTGGCTGAAGACCCAGAGAACATATGTGCAGGGCTGACCAGGCTTCTTATTGAGGGGGGCTGCCTTGGGAAGTGGGGGCTGAGGTGGCACCCCACTGAAGAGCCTATAAGGAGGGGTGAGCCCTCCCCCATGCTTCTCAACACACCTGAGGTCTCCCTGCCCTACGTGCAGAGAGTCTGGGTGGGCTGCTAGACCCCAGGCTTCTCACTGGCTGTATTTATTTATTTTCTAAAGTATCAGTCTATTTATAACTTAATCTAGGCTTTTGGTTGTTACTATAAAAGTGACATATGCACATGGCAAACATTTAAATGACACAGAAGGGTAGAAAAAGGAAAAGAGAACAACAGCCTAGGTGTGCATAAAGCAAAACTGATGGAGCTTAAAACTGGGTGGCAGTAGGGGCAGGCAGAAGCAAGAAGCAGAATGAGATCGAGAACACAGTGCTATCTGCACAAATTAAAAATACATGATGCCAACTATACCTTGTGTTTTGCAGGAGTCATAAGAACAGAAAGAGACACGTTAAACCCATTAAAATGGTCATTTGTGGGGGAGAAGAATAGGAGTGAGGAATGTAGGATAAAAGAGAATGAATGAATGAATGAATCAATCAATCAATCAGGAGAGGGGCTGTGTATGAACCATCAAAGATAATGTGCCTTGAACACCTGTGGATGGGGAAACTGAGACTTGGGGACCTGCTCAGTGACTATTGATTTGCTGTGTGTCTGGTAGCTTGTCTTGGGCCTCAGTTTCCTCATCTGTGAAATGGGGGTTCTCTGTGCTTGGTGGGAGGACCACGCCTCTTGCAGGATCCAGTCTGGGGCTCGTCCTTGGGAACCCCTCTGTGCCGCCAGAGAACTAGGTACCTTCTTTGGGTTGTTCTTCTCCACCACGCTGTCGCGGTCAGCATCCACATCCAGGGAGATCTCTGGGAACAAGACACATGGGTGAGTTGTTGAACGGAGCCTCCAGATAGAATGGGGCAGGGACAGGAGGAAGACGTGGCATTAGGGGACAGCTTACCCATTTGCTTGGCCACTGGGAAGGGGGGATCTTGTTGAGCCCATCTTCTCCTACCCCTGCCTCAGCACCCCTCCTCCCCAGGGCAGACATTGTGCAGGACTTCACTGCTTACAAAGCGCTGTCAGGTACACTCCCTCATGGGCAGGTGAGGCATCTCCCCCCTCCTATTCTTTCCTCTGTCAGGTCTGTGCGGTGGGTGGGGTGGTCCTCCCTGCACAGAGCTTGCAGCCCTGGTTCAGAAAGGTGAAATTACATGCTCAAGGTCACACAGTTGGCACTGGCAGAACTGGGGTACACTGCAGATAGCCTGACTTGAAGCCTATATTTGACAATGTGCAGGCACAGGGTTCCATAGCTGCCTTTCCCAATCTGTTCTGGGCTTGTGTGCATGCGTGCACATGTGCATTTGTGTGCATGCACATGTGCGTTTGTGTGTGTGCATGTCTCTCTCTCCCCGAGAACTCCCAATGGTCTAGATCCGACCTCTTAGGACTGAGGATTTTACTTGGGTGGAAAACTGAAGCTCCACCCCCTTTCAACCTGAGGGTGCCCAAGAGGCCAGGCCTCCAGATAGAGAACCTATGGTGGGGCCTCTGCTTCTCCTTTCTCCTGGGGAAGGGACCTTCTGTATCCCTAGGCCTGTCATGGGGACAGACTTCATGGAGACTGTGGGGAATAGTGGAAAGAGCCCAAGTTTTAGCATAGTTCAAACTCTGGCTCTCCGCTTACCAGCTGTGTGACTTTGGGTAGGTTAGACAGCTTCTCTGAGCCCCAGCTTTCCTCACCTGTAAAATGGGGGCCCTTTCTGGTTACAGCAGCTGCGCTAACTGCAAGCGTAGGCACTACTGACATGTGGGACTGGATACCTCTGTTGTGGGGGCTGTCCCGTGCATTGTGGGATGTTTAGTAGCATCCCTGATCTCTACCTTCCTAGATGCCAGTAGCACCTGCCACTTGTGACAACCAAAAACGTCTCCAGACATTGCCAAATGTCCCTTGGGAGGCCAAAATGCCCCCTGAGTTAGAGACTAACAGGGAGGGGCAGGGGAGTTGTTGGGAAGGTGAGATGAGCTGGTTCCAGGCTCTGGGAGCTGCCCAAGTGGGCTCGCCCTCCTGCTGAGTGTGACTTGGACTGCAGTGGGAGTTGGTTGGGAATGAGTGCATTCCTGGTCAGTCCCCTTGGCAGGTGCATCCTCACCCTGATGAGTAGGAGGAAGGTCCTGGCACAGGAAGGGCACTGATGTCACCCTTGCCTGGGTGGCTCAGCCAGACTGAGTCCAGGGATTACATTCAGGTCCTTCCTTTGCCCACAGCCTTCCCAACTCTGAATGTGGCTTCTCTGGGTCTAGGAGGCAGGAGGGTGGAGGCTTTAAGGGTGCCTGGTCCTTGGGAGAGGCAGTACCCCAATGTCCCAACCTCTGGAGCCCTACTATGAGTTAGATACTCTAAGACATAATTTCATAAAATCCTCCCACTGTTCTCATTCACTTATCCCTTCACTCAACAAATAATTGTGGAGCATCTACTATGTTCCAGGCACTGTACTGGGCACTGGGGATCTAATGCTGGGCAACAGAGGCATAGCGCCTCCTCTCCAGCAGTCTATAGTCCTAGGAGATATATACTGTTCCCATTTTACAAGTGAGCAGTTCTGGGCTGAGAGAAGTCACGTGTTGGCGATTTGGGCTAATAATCTGAGAGGGTAGCACAGGATAAGGATTCTATGGCGAAAGAAGGGAAGGTGGTACCACTCTCTGCTATTAAAGAAACTGAAGGCTCAGATCCGGGAACAATATTGGTTTTGGCTCCCAAGACCTTTACGAACTTTCCAGCTGGACACACCCCAGTGAACGCTGCCTTTCAGGGAGGTCGGCTTCCCTAAACTCCGCTCTGGGAACTAGCTGCAAACCCAGCCACGTTAACAGTCCCCCTCTTAGCTTTTCGAGGTAAAATCTCTCTTGTGAAGATAGTTCACTCTGCCAGCTGTGGAGCGCGTTCCATCGCATAATCTGGAATTCTCTCAACCACTACAGGAGTGGGTAGGCATTAATTATCACACCCCCCCCCAAGTCCACAGATGAGGAAACCAAGGCTCCCAGCAGCCAAGTGACAACAAAGTCTCCAGAGCATGAAGAGCAAGTATCCCACCCCTGTCTGGGATCCAGACCCTTCTCTTTGCTTTTCTCACTGATCCAGGCTGACCTCCGGGTGCCTCAGGCTGACCTCCAGCTAACCTAGGCTGACTTCCAGCTGACCTCGGCTGACCTAGACTGATCTCCAGCTGACCAGTTTGACCAGGCTGACCTCCAGCTGACCCAGGCTGACCTCTGGCCTGGGCTCTGTTTCCAAATGTCAAGCCTGCTTTCAAAGATCCAAGATTTCTTCCCTAAAGGCCATTCCCAGAGAAGTCTGGCCATGTCCCCACCTTGGAAGCCCCTGTGGCCTTTAGCTCCAGCCTGCAAGGTGACCCCTGTGAAGAGGCATCAAGGCTCCCTGTGGCGTGTCCATTAAAGCAGTGGATTGTAGGAGAGAAATTATAAGGCACTTTATAGTGCTCAGGAGCTCTGGTGGAGCAGTGGTTAAAGCACTCGACTGCCAACCAAAAGGTCAGTGGTTCAAACCCAGAAGCTGCTCTGCGGAAGAACGATGTGGCAGTCTACTTCTGTAAACATGTACAGCCTTGGAAACCCTATGGGAAAGTTCTACTCTGTCCTATAGGGTTGCTATGAGTCGGAATCGACTCAGTGGTAGTGGGTTTGGTTTTTGGTTTTGGTTACAGCGCTTTATTTCATTATGAATTTCTTAAACTTTTGAACTTTTTGTGTACTATTTGTACATAGTAGAAAAAAAATCAAATAGTACCAGAAGGCTCCTAAAGAAAAACAGCAGTTCCCTTTCCAGCCCTTCTCCTCACCTGCCTCAGGCAACCTCCCTAACAATAAGTAATATGCTTATTGCTATTTCTTGGTATATTAATTTTAGACATTTTAACTGACTTTCTGTTATGAAATTTGGATATTTCATAATTTGGGTCCATTATCACCCTCCTCCCAGCCTCCCACATGGCTTCACAATTTCTCTCTCTCTCTTTTCTTTTCTCATGTATGCAAAGAGATCTTTAATATGTTCTAATGCATTTGTTTGTTTTTTTACGAAGCTCTGATAACTTTGCCTTGGACAGGTTGTGCTGACTTCCGCTATATTGTGTGTTGTCTTTCCCTTCACCAAAGTCGACACTTCTCTACTATCTAGTTAACGATTTCCCCTCGTCACCCCTCCCCTCCTTTGTAACCATCAAAGAATGTTTTTTTTCTGTGTGTAAATCTTGTCTTCAGTTTTTATAATAGTAGTCTTATACAATATTTGTCCTTTTGTGATTGACGTATTTCACTCAGCATAATGCCCTTCAGATTCATCCATGCTGTGAGATGTTTTGCAGATTCATCATTGTTCTTTATCGTTGACAACTTCTCTCTGATGACCCAGTAGCACGTGTCCCCTCCTCATAGTCAACTGGACTGGCCTCTGGTTCCCTGTACCCTCCCTTAAGCTACAAGCCATCCCTGTAGGACTTTTGCTCCCCTTCAAGCCTGCCCCAATGCCTGACTTAGCTAGATTCCAGTGGGGTGACTCGTGCAGGAAGAGAGAATGAGATTGGCCTGCCCTGCCCTCTTGGGACAGCTCTGCTGTCCAGAGGGAGGAACGGGAGGGTGTCTGTATCAGGGCTTCTGGACTCCAGACAACATTTCCCAGAGGCTCTGGATCCTACCTCCAGGCGACATTTTCCAGAGGCTCTGGATGCTACCTAAGCTCCAGAGAATAGCCCCAAGGTGTCAGGTGGCGCCTGGGGCGTGGGGCAGATTAATGGGAAAGGTCATCAGGATTGGGTTCAAGGCAGTCTGCCTTGAGAATCAAGACACCGGGGCCTCAGCTGCAGCCCAGGCATGCTGGCGGGCCGCCGGCCCCCACAGAAGTGGCAGGAAGCCCAGCCTTTTTGCCTTGCCTAGCAGCTTGGGGTGTGGTGGGGAGGATGGGCACTGCCCAACCCTCTCCCCCGCAAGCCAACTGGGGCAATTACCCTAGGCTCTCGGGAAAGGGTAGAAGGAATGAGCCCTTTAGGTTGATGCTAAAAATTCTTGAGGCTCAGATATATATATTGCTCCCACAGCCAGGACCACAGCAAAGAGGGTGATACCATTCCTCCCCACTCCCTTTCATTCCCGCTTTCCCCTTTAATAGGGAAAAACCAAACCATTTGCCACTGAGTCAATTCCAGCTCCTGGTGACCCCATGTGTGTCAGGGTTTTCATGACTGTGATCTTTTGGAAGTAGATTGCCAGGCTTTTCTTCCAAGGTGCCTCTGGGTGGACTCAAACCTCCAACCTTTCGGTTAGCAGCTGAGCGTGTTAACCTGTTTACACCACCCAGGGACTCCTTTTAATAGAGACGGCTTTGCAGACCAGACCTAATCAGATCCTGGAGTCTGGAAGTTCCAATCAGCTCAACCCTCTTGCTTTATAGCTGGGAAAAATGAGTCAAAGTCATACAGTAGGTCTGTAGCAAGACTGGGAGGAAGATCCAGGGCCTATTTTGACCAAGGTCACCATAGGTTCATTCCTAAATCCCAGGGGGAAGACTGAGGGATAGTAAGGCTCTTCAGCTTCAGAGAGAAAATGTGGCTACCCCAAGAGGAAGGAAGAAAGGAGGGCACGGACTGAGCACCTACCCTGTGCCAGGCCCTTTGCATGCACCACTGAATCCTCATCATCACCATGCAAGGGTGCACTGTGAACCCTGTTTCACAGATGAGGAAACTGAGGCTCAGAGGGGTGATGTGACTTGCCCATGGTCACAATGTGGCAGGAAGGAGCAGCGCCAGAACTCGGATTTATTTCTGTCTCCTCTAAAGCCGGGGCTCTTTCTACTCATGTGGGCTCCGGACAGAGGCGAAGACTGGGCACCCCCTCCATGCAGACAGCAGGACAGGGTGACCAGCAACCAAGCCTGTCTGGAAATTCACTGAGGAGTGGAAGAGCTATTGTTGAACCTATTTCAGCAGCAAAGAGTGCAGGGCTGTAGAAGGAGAGGCTGGCGTGGGAGCTAGTGGCCTTGTTCAGAGGGAGTTCTGAGACCCCTGGGGAATGTAAGATAACTGAACTGACTTGGGGTCCAAACAATCGCCTCCCAGCTGTGTGGCCTCAGGCAAGTTCTTGTTTGTTTTACTTTTTCTGATCCTAGGTTTTCTCATCGGTAAAATGGGGATAGTAATAGGGAACCCTGGTGGCTCAGTGGTTAAGAGTTTGGCTGCTAACCAAAAGGTTGGCAGTTCAAATCCACCAGACTCTCTTTGGAAACCCTATGGGGCCGTTCTACTCTGTCGCTATGAGTCAGGATCGACTCATTGGCAATGGGGATCCTTGGAATGTTGAAATCCCTGGGCAATGCAAATAGTTAAGTGCTCGACTACCAACCAAAAGGTTAGGAGTTCAAGTCCATCCTGAGGCACCTCAGAAGAAAAGCCTGGTGATCTACTTCCAAAAAATCAGCCATCGAAAACTCTATGGAGCACAGTTCTACTCTGACACAAACAGGGTAGCCATGAGTTGTAATTGACTTGATGGCACTTAGTTTGGCTTTTTTTTTTTAATCCTTGGAATAGTGGTAAAAATACATTGAGATCATGTCAGTAAAACTTCTAGTTTTGGAACCTGGCACACTGTTGGTGCTCAATAAAAGTTAGGTGTTTATCATCTTTATAATCATCATTGTCATTGTCATCCTCAAAGCACACTGCATGGTTCTGGACACACAGCAGGTGTTCAATAAATTGGAGATATCATTCTTTTTAAAGCACTTGGCATGTAGTAGGTTCCCAATAATTGGTAGTTCCCTTCCCTTGCCATCTGGTAGCTGTGTCAATATTAAACCAAGGCTGGATGGGTAAAATGATGCTCTGAAATTTCCTTCTGGCATAATTAAAAGTTCTATGATTTAATTTTTTTTTTTAAATTATGAAAGTAACACCTCAACTGCAGTAGAGTCCAGTGACTGAGGGTTCAGAAGACCACGCCCCTGGACCCTGCTACCCCAGGCTGTGCTCCAAAACCGCCCCGCCCTTGCCCCCACCCCCGCAACAGGCAGGCCTGGTTGTAGGGCAGGGCAGTATGGTACAATGGAAAGAACCTGAGAGGGGAATAATCCTGAGTTCTAGACTCAACCTACCCTAACCTCTCCCGGCCTCACTGCCCTTGTGGGTCAAACGAGGGGCTTGCACCAGGTAAGTCAGTGATCCAGGGCTGTATCTCTGTGCACCCAGGTCTGGGTCTCAGGGAGGACAAGGGGGGTATCTGGGATTATCAAGGTCAACAGCAGGCTTTGTAGACTGTGGCCATTGCCCTCACCATGTCTTCTCCAGGCTGGGGAGGGAGTGAGAGAGGGATGGAGTTCCCTTTCTCTTCCTTGGCCCACAGAACTGATGGTGACCCAGACATGGGGGTGAGTCACTGGCAGACCAGGGCATGCCTCCTCCTGCAGGAAGTCCTCTACCCCCAGTACAGAGGGGCCAGGGCCCCAGTGGTATCACTCCATGGGCCTGCACTATTCAGAAGAAATCACTAATGTCAGGTCTGCAGTGCTGAACACTGGTCCGGCCTAAGTGCCACTGAGAGGGTAGTAATGCCAGGCCCTAGGGGATGAAGGCACCCAGACGAAGCCATGCCAACTCACCAATGGCCGTGAGGAAGAGCCCAGCCTGGTCGATAGGAGTGTTTCCCTCCTGCTCATAGTAGTTGACGGTGACCTTGGTGGGGAGGTGGCACATTGGGAGGGAGAGAAAAGCAGAGATCACAGATCACAAGCAGGAACACCTGCAGTAACCCCTCCCCAGCTCATACCTCACAGCCTGTCAAATCAACCCTCTTTGGATGTTCCAACCATTTCCTCCAGGAAGCTCTCCTGGGCTGGTGAGCTGCTGCTCCCAGATCACTAAACTAGACAGTGGACTCCCCTCCTCTCAGAGAGCATCCAGGTGCCATCTGCCTGCCTGTGCCCACTGTGGGGCCCCCACACCTGCCATGTTATATGTCTAGCTCCTGCTAGTCTCCTAGTGAGTAGGGCTGACCTTTTCTTTATACAATGTCCAGTGCCATCACTGTGATGGAGCACATGGCAAAGGGACTGTGCATAATTAGAGAACCCAATGAGGAGACAGTTCTGGTCCCAGCTTCACCACTAAATTGCTATGTGGCCTTGGGTAAATCATTTCAGTCCATGGATCCTTGCTGTATTAGTGGCCATTGAGTTGGTCCCCAACTCACGGTGACCCAATACATGATGGAAAGAAATGCTGCCCAGTCCTGCGCCATCCCCATGATTGGTTGCAGAATGAATGGTTGGGACCTATAAAGTTACACTGACTGACTTTCAGACGTAGATCACCAGGCCTTTCTTTACTAGTCCTTCTTAGTCTGGAAGCTCTGCTGAAACCTGTTCAGCATCATAGCAACAGGGTCCACTGACAGACAGGTGGTGGCTGTGCCTGAGGGACACTGGCCAGGCATCAAACTCGATCTCCCACATGGAATACATGAATTCTAGCACTGAACCACCACTGTCCCCTTGTGGGTCCTTAGCACCCTATTTTACAGATGATGAAACCAAGGACCTTGTGGCTGTAACTTCCAAGGATTCTAATATTCTATAGTTTTAAGATTCTAAACTTTCTATCATTCAGTGGTCCACAATTATAACCCTCTGCGAAGCAATTGGGAATTCCAGAACACTTAACTGTGCTCATAGATCAAAAGGCAGTCGTTTAAACAAAACAAGGGGATACTGCATGTTTTAAAGTGAGGAAAGGTGTGTGTCAGGGTTGTATCCTCTCACCAGATTTATTCAATCTGTATGCTGAGCAAATAATCTGAGAAACTGGACTATATGAAGAACAATGCAGCATCAGGATTGGAGGAAGACTCATTAACAACCTGCAATATGCAGATGACACAACCTTGCTTGCTGAAGTGAAGAGGACTTGAAGCACTTACTGATGAAGATCAAAGACTACGGCCTTCAGTATGGATTACACCTCAACATAAAGAAAACAAAAATCCTCACAACTGGACCAATAAGCAATATCATGATAAACGGCGTAAATATTGAAGTTGTCAAGGATTTCATTTTACTTGGATTCACAATCCACAAGGAAGCAGCAGTCAAGAAATCAAATGACGTATTGCATTGGGCAAATGCGCTGCAAAAGACCCTGTTAAAGTGTTAAAAAGCAAAGATGTCACCTTGAGGACTAAGGTGAGCCTGACCCAAGTCGTGGTATTTTCAATTGGCTCATATGCATGCAAAAGCTGGGCAATGAATAAGGAAGACCTAAGAATTGATGCATTTGAACTGTGGTGTTGGTGAAGAATATTGAATATACCATAGACTGCCAGAAGAATGAACAAATCTATTTTGGAAGAAGTATACCCAGAATGCTCCCAGGAAGCAAGGATGGTGAGACTTCGTCTCACATACTTTGGACATGTTATCAGGAGGGACTAGTACCTGGAGAAAGACATCATGCTTGGTAAAATAGAAGGTCAGTGAAAAAGAGGAAGACCCTCAGTGAGATGGATTGACACAGCAGCTGCAACAATGGGCTGAAACATAGCAATGATCGTGAGGATGCTGTAGGACCGGGCAGTGTTTTGTTCTGTTGTACATAGGGTTGCTATGAGTTGGTACCGATGCAGCAGCCCCTAACAACAAGAAATCATTGCTCTACAGGCTAACACTGCACTGTCCTGTACAGTAGCCACTAACCCCGTGTGGCTATTGAGCACTTAAAATATACAAATCTGAATTGAAATGTGCTGTAAGTGTAAACTACACGCCGGATTTTAAGGACTTCAGTCTGAGTAATGTAAACTATCTTGTTAATATTTTTCATACTGGTGGCATGTTGAAATGATAATATTTTGATATATGAAGTTAAGTAAAATAGATTATTAAAATTAATTTCACTTAACAAGGGAAAATGACATATGTGGCTCCCATTCTGTTTCTTTGGGGCAGCACTGGTGTAGTCTGCCTCGATTCCAGCATGGCCACTGGTCCCCTGCAGCCCATGGAGGGTGCGCCTCCCTAGCCCTGGTACCTTGTCGCTGCTGGCCTCAATGCTCGCCTGGCTCATGGTGAGCCGCAACGTGGTGGTAGGTAAGAGAGGCCAGCGCTGTTTGCCATTGGCGGCCACCTCCTCAGCATGTCCATCACGTACCACCTCCACCCGCACGCGCTCCGAGTGCTTCAGGCTGAAGGTCTGTGCCTCGGCTGGGGCCGCGCTGTACGGACAGAGGAGAGAGGGTCACGGGGAGTCCTGGGGTAGGTAGGACAAAGGGGTTCAGGGAGGAGGCTCCTGGAGGGGCCATGCTACAAGGGCCCTCCCAGCTCATCTGATCTGGGGGACCCCAAAGAAATCAGCTGTATTGTCATCACCTGGTAGGACAAGAATTTACATTTCCAACATATTTCTAGGCGCTGTTGATGCACAGCTACAGGGGCCACACTTTGAGAACCACTGATCTAGACATTCGGCAGTGTAGTACTTTGGTTAGAGCCCTGGGGTGGCCTAAGCTGTGAGTGTGAGTCTGTAAAGGCCACCAGGCAGGTCTCTCTGGCCCAGGCCACAGGCTGCAGGGACTCCTGGCAAAGACTACTGGTCACAGGGACTGGCAGGAGAGAGTGGGCAGGGGTCCAGGCAGCTCATGCCCAGTGTTGGGAAAGGAGCTCAAAAAAGAAGCCCCAGGGCCACTTGATTTCTTGTCTCTCTGCCATTCCCCATCCCTCTCACCCTGTCATGGGGATGCTGGGTCCCAGGAAAGATGGTGAAAGATGCACCGCCTCTCCACACTCATCCCCCTATTATACATGAGCTGATCTGAGTCTTGTTGGCTGGGGCCTGCTGCCTTCTGTCCACACCCATCATGAGGAGGGGCACAGGATCTGGGCAAAAACCCTGGATTAGGGATACACATGCAGAAGATCTGGGGTCAAGCCCAATTTTGCTGCTGACTTGATGAAGGGGTCTTGAATGAGTCTTTTGCCACCTCTGAGTGTCCATTTGCCCACCCATAAGCCAAAGTATGAGCACTTGCCCCTTTTGTGCACACATCCCCTTCCTGTCCACACAACCCTCGTTCTTTATCCTTCGCAGGCCAGGGGTCATATCCTGTCTGGTGATGCTGTTAAATGTTACCTTCCTCCTCTGGATTATAAACCCCTAAGGTCCCTGGGTGGCACAAGCTGTTTGCAATGGGCTGCTAACCTAAAGGTTGGCAGTTTGGACCCACCCAGCACTCCCACAGAAGAAAGGCCCGGTGATCCTCTTCCATAAAGATTATAGCCAAGAAAACCCTATGGAGCAGTTCACTGTGTAACACACAGGGTCGCCATGAGTTGGAATTGACTCAATGGCAATGGCTTTGGTCTTTTGGTTTTCTTTGAGGACACAGCCTACTTTCTCCCACCCCCATCCTTCACAGAGTCTAGCATGGGAAGCATATCACACACCCCCAGCAAGAGTGTGGAACTGAGCCTGATAGAAGGTGAGCTTTTCAGAGTACCTAGCCAGGATTTCCCAAAGGGAGGTGTGGGTACCACCCGAGCACATAAGATGCTACATAAGGTGGCAAATGAGTGAACATTTTAAAAGACTTATTCTGACTCATGGCAATCCCGTGTGTGTCAGAGTAGAACTGTGCTTCACAGAGTTTTCAATGGCTGATTTTCAGAAGTAGATCACCAGGCCTTTCTTTTGAGGTGCCTCTGGGTGGACCTCAACCTTTCGGATGACAGCTGAGTGCATTAACTGTTTGTATCACCCAGGGACTCCAAAAGAAGATTTATATGTTTATTAAATGCATTATCTCTTTACGGCAACTTTATGGCTTTCCATTTATTGTTTAAAATAAAGTTGTTAAGAAAAATGTGTGTCGGTTTAAAGATACATTTTAAGTTCTAGTACTACAGGTGGAATGTAGTTTTGGCAAAAATTGTGAGAGTCTGGGAAACTGTGGACTCAGGTTTGGGAAACACTCCGCAAGTGCGAGTCCCAGCTTCGCCCAACTTGCTGGGTAGCCTCGGGCAAGGTGTTTCTTCTCTCTCAGCTCCGTTAAATGTAAAACAAGAGGATGGGACCAGGTCAGAAGTGGCTGGAGTCTGGGGAGAGCAGAGAGAGCATCGCCTAGATGTAGGAGTGGGTGGGGTGTGCTGAAAAGCTGGGATCTCTCTGCCCAATCCCCGACCTCACTTTAACAAAAGCCTCTGTTATTTCATTTGGTTTTACAGAGTGGGCTTCTGCAAACAATTCTATTTAGAAAAAAAAATGCTTTACCAACTCACATGATCTCGTAAGAGCCGGACCCTGACAATAGTTGCTGTAAATGCTGCTTCCTGCCAGCCTTCATTCCTCTGGGCTAAATGAGAAGCCGGAGGAGACCTCGAAGTCCCCGAGGGCTCATGCCCAGCCCCCATTAGAGCTCAAGGGCCCCACGCCCTCCCATCCCACTACACCAAGTACCAGCCCCATCCAAGCCGAGCAAACAGCTATTACTGGAGCAGCCCTGGCAGAAGCGACAAAGGTGTCCATTGTCCCCTTGTGTGTCCTGTGGGTTGCCTCTCTCCCCAGGAAGAGTGTCTCAGAATTCCCCCCAGAAACCAGAGAGCCAGGGGCTGCGGAGGCTGTGGAGGGGCCCAGGACAGTATTCAGGGAAGTGGAGTATGTGTGTGTGTAGTGGGTGGTGGTGGTTGTGACATCCTTGCTTATTGGAAAGAGGCTAAAGATAGTGTGGACAAGACAGGCTGCCAGTCCCTGGACCATGTCTACTATCATCGTGTCCCAGTACGCAGGATGTGGCCAGGCTCAATACATACTCTGTGAATAAATGAATGAATGAACCTGCCTCTCTTGGTTTTCCAAACTGTGCTAGTGCAGTGATTTTTTTTAAAAGAAATCAAGTCACTTGCTTGCATCAAAATATTCAGTGGCTCCTTGGTGGCCTACCCATACAAAAAATCCAAACTCTTTATAGCTTGTGTTCAATCAGTGGCATTTGGCCAGTGCATCTCAACATGACTCTCCAGCCTCATTTTCTGCAACTTCTTCCACCCTGTAAGCTCCCTCCATTCTTTCATCTCACCAAGCTTTTTTTTTTGTATATGCTGTTCCTTCTACCTGCAATGCTTTTCCTTGACTTCTCTGCTTGGCAAATGTCCATCCCTCCTTGAAGACCCAACTCAACTGATTTATCCTCATGCTTATTTTTCTATGTGGCAGTTAGCTCCTTGAAGACAGGGGTCGTATCTTCTATTGTCTGTTCCAGCACCTGGCCTAGTACAGGCACACAGTAAGAACTCTACAGATGTTTGCTGCAGGAAGGGCTGAAGAGAAGGGCTTGCTTACGTGCTCATTCATTCACTCAACATGTATTTATTGAGCACTTACTCTGTGCCAGGTATAGTTCTCGGTGCTGGGGGTAGATTGGTCCCAAGATAATATGTTAGATACCTTAATAATCTGAAGATAATATGTTCCCTGGGTCCACTGAGCTTATATTCTAATGGGAAAGAAAGGCTTTCAATAGATTACATAATTAATTGTGTGACTACAGCTGTGATAATTACCATGGAGGAGAAGTATGGGGTATCAAGAAACCTGCCCTGGTCTGGGACTAAGGGAGGGCTTCCCTGAGGAAATGGCATCTGAGCTGAGATCTAAACTCTAGACTCTAACGACTGGATAAGAATTAATTTGACCAGTGGTTCTCAAACTTTGGAATCCCTGGGTGGTGCAAATGGTTAGTCCTCTCAGCTGCTGACTGACTGAAAGGCTGGAGGTTCCAGTCTACCCAGAAGCACCATGGAAGAAAGGTCTGTGGATCTATTGCCAAAAAAATCAGCCATTGAAAACCCTGTGGAGTCCAGTTCTACTCTGACATACAGGGGCTCACCATGAGTCAGTCGACTTGACGGCAGTCGGCTTGGTTTCTCAAACGTTGGCAGCATTGTTAAAACACAGACTGCTAGGCTTACCCCCAAAGTTTCTGATTCAGCAGGTCTGGGGTGGGGCCTGGGAATCTGCATTTCTAACAAGCTCCCAGGGGATACTGATGCTGCTGGTCTGGGGACCACACTTTCAGTATCACTTAACCGGACAAAGAGAGGAGAGGAAGAGGAACAGAGCTGTCCAACCACTTCCATGCAAGCTTGGAAGGTGGAAGCTAGCTCAGCATGTTCCAGAAACTGGAAGGAGGACAGTGTGGCTGGGGTTTGTGAGCAAGGCGGAGGGAGAGTGGCAGGAGGAGAAGGTGGAGATGATAGTGAGGACTGGGTCTTTCTCCTGAGAACAGTGGGGATCATCGAAGGTTTCTAAGCAGGGGTGACATGATCCTTTCTGCACTGTAGACGGATCACCCAGGTGCAGGGTGGAGAAGGGATGTCACGACAGCAATAGTGGAAGTAGGGGAACCAGTGAAGAGGGAACTGCAGCTGTGAGGTGAGTGATGATGGTGGCTTGGGACAGACAGGGTGGTGGCTGTGGAAATGGAGAGAAATGGCTGCCGGCTGTGGTCAAAGAAAGGAACTTTGAGAAAGGCCTGGAAAACTGTGACAAACATAGAAGAGAGATGTTTATTAAGTTCAGCCCAAGGGAATTCTGGGGCTTTGTGACCTCATGTCTGCTCAGCCCCAAGAATGCTCTGTGACCTCTGGGGAGCCACTCAGCCTCTCTGGTCTCTACTCAGTGGGGAAGGTCACTGGCTTGGCCTTGCAGGGCTGGGACAGCTCACTGATAGCTCCAGACTCAAAGCATGACATGCCTGCTCTCAGCTTGTCCACCTGCCCTGGGCCTATTAACACCAGCCAGGGCTACCCCTAGAGTGACCCCAGCTCCTGGCAGCCTGGCAGTTAAATCCTGCCCGCAGGTCTCTGGAGGAGCATGAGGGGGAAGTTGTGGATGCCAGCATGTATGCAACCCCTTGGCGAGCACCTCTGAGGGGAAGGGAGGGATCACGGGAAGGAAGCAAGGCCAGGGGTAGGATGAATCTAGCCCAGGCCTCACATCTGGCGCTCAGTTTGGTGGTGGCTGGAGCCCTAGGGGCATTGGTGAAGGCAAAATTATGACATCTGTCTTCAGCCAGCCTCCTTCCACCCAGTAACCTCAGCAGCCCCTCTCACCAGTGCTTCCAACTGCCCTGGGTCCTCCCCTCAGGGAAGAAACAGTCTAATCTACGGTCACTCCTCTTCTCAGTCTTCAATAACTCCTTACTGCCTAAAGAACAAATTC